TAATCACCGTATCAAAGCTTTAGCTGAAGACTCCTCCTTGTGTAAACCATTTAGAAACTAAGTCTATAGGCACTGAGGGAAGATTTAGTGTTTTTTTTTGCTCACAAAATGAACACTCAATTCCTTTATTATCTCTTTGTTATTGTGCCCACAGGTGCCAAGGCAAGGGGCCCACTTCAGGCCCATGCCCCTGAACTTCAATGGGATTTAAGCACTCACCAAGTGAGCGTTTAAGCACCGTTTAAGCACCATTTAAGCACCATTAAATCCAAGGTGTCTCCAATGCTCCTGACCTTTCTGGCCGGAGCATGACCAGTGCAAGGGCCTGACACCAAACCTGTGGCCTCCTTTCGGTGGCTTTCTTCGATGGTGGGGTTATTTTTTATATTATAGATACAACATTTTAATGGATTACAAACCCCAGAAACGTGGGGAGGATTAAAGTGAGAAGAATCAGTTCCCGTCATGGTCACCTTCAGCGCCGCGATGGAGCCCAGCGCCTCCAGTCACGTACCAAGGCAGCAGCGTCTGAAACCCTTGAGCTCAACGGTACCGGCAGGGGCAGCCTGCGGCTGTGCAAGGGCTGCCTATGGGGAGGGCTCCCACAGCCGGAGCCTGGCGCAGGGGCAGGCTGTGCCGGTGACCACATCTGCAGTGCCGGTGATCACATCTGCAGTGCCGGTATCACATCTGCAGTGCCGGTGATCACATCTGCAGTGCTGGTGATCACATCTGCAGTGCCGGTATCACATCTGCAGTGCCGGTGATCACATCTGCAGTGCCGGTGATCACATCTGCAGCGCTGGTGATCACATCTGCAGCGCCGGTGATCACATCTGCAGTGCCGGTGATCACATCTGCAGTGCCGGTGATCACATGTGCAGTGCCGGTATCACATCTGCAGTGCCGGTATCACATCTGCAGTGCCGGTGATCACATCTGCAGTGCCGGTATCACATCTGCAGTGCCGGTGATCACATCTGCAGTGCCGGTGATCACATCTGCAGTGCCGGTATCACATCTGCAGTGCCGCACCACCGCGTCTGAGGGGCCTTGCGTTGCCGTGGAGCAGCATGGAGCTCGACAGGACCGTCTCGGCTCGTTGCCATCAGGGGTAGCTGCCTCTGCCTGTGCCAACCGAGCCCCCAGGCACTTGGCTGGGTGTCACATCCACCGCGGGGAGGATGAGCACGTGTGAGTGGTGAGTACAGCACCGGGGGGTGAGAACTGCGGGCAGGGAGGGGAGCACTGCGATGGAGGGGTCAATGGGGTGGGGAGGCTGCCCCATCCCTGGCAGCGGTTGGGCACAAGGGCTTTGGCTGCGGGATGCTGCGCCCTTCTCTGAGATGGGCACCCGACACAAGGGCAGGCAGCACCAGGCATCTTTGAAACTGAAGCCCCAGGCTTCTGAGCACGCCGCCTTAAAGGCAGAAACTGTAGGGGCAAACCTTGGTCTAAACCATGCTTTGAAGCAGAGGCAGCCAACAGCACCCGAGCGGTTTAAAACAGTCGGGTTTTCTCCTTCGCTTGGACAAACTGTTTTCCTCTTGTTCAGGAAGGTGCCGGCTGCCATCTCAGCTGTGACCCTGGTCCTACATGCTCTGCTCTTGCTGGCACTTTACATCATGCTCAGCAGGAAGATAGGTAATTCATTGCCTCGTAAACTTTACCCGGTTTTACCTGTTCTGTTCCTCATTCCTGCTCGCAATCCCCACTTCAGAGACTGGCAATCATTTGCCCCAAGCACAACCAAGTCCTTGCTCTGGGTCTGGCTCTTGCTCCCGCTTCAGGGAGTGACTGGTGATGCTGTGGAGTGTGTGCAGGAGCTGGACCCCCACCCCAGGGACCCTCTGGAGCCCCGGCTGGGCCAAGCATCAGCGTGGGACAGGAAGAGGGCAGCACGGCGGCGCTGTGCCAGCCTGGTGCGGGCAGAGTCCCACAGGGGGTTACATCCTGTTACAGCTCTGTCTTCTTTTATTGCTCTTGTTAGTGAAGGGGGTGGGAATCGCCATCAGAACCCATCCGCAGTGCGCTGGTGCAGCTGAAGCTGCCGTGTCCAGCAGGGCTGGAGCCTGATGCTGACTCCCCTCTTGGTTCCAGCCAGCCACTCCTGCAGCAAACAGGAGAGCAGCAGCCCCACGGAGCAGCCCCAGCAGCCTCCGGCCTCGGCAGTGGGAGGGGAAGGGCTGCAGAGACCAGGCTATGAGGGTAAGGGGGTCCTGCAGGTCCTGGAGGGTGCTGAGGGGCTGGCACAGAGAAGCTGTGGCTGCCCCATCCCTGGCAGTGCTCAAGGCCAGGTTGGACACAGGGGCTTGGAGCAAGCTGCTCCAGTGGAAGGGGTCCCTGCCCAGGGCAGGGGTTGGGGCTGGAGGAGCTTTAAGCTCCCTTCCAATCCGAACCATTCCATGATTCCATGAATACAAATGGGTGTTAGTGTGTCTGTGCAGTGCACAGTGAGGCCCTCACCGGCTGCCCCTGGGGACAGGAGGGATCAAGGGGCCGGAGCAGCACAATTCCAGTTCCCTCCTGCCTGCTCTGGGCTTTCCCAGCCCGGTTCCCATGGGCAGGGGATGAGGGGGGGGTCACGCTGATGCTCTTTGGGTTTTCACGTCCACTCCTGAGCACGTTTGCTTTCTCTCCCTGGTTCTTTTGTGCCTCTGCCCCGAGGAGCGATGGGGCTCGTGACGCTTCCTGTTTTCCAGGGAGCAGTGACACATCCTCAGAGACCTCGGAGGACTCGGGCAGCAGCCGCTCCTGCCCACAGGTACGGCCACGGGCAGGGGCCTTTGCCATAAACCACCACAGCAGGGGAGCTGGTGCCGGCTTCAGGCCCACAGAGGGCACTGAGGCTGTACCCAACGTTCCCCCTCCCCAGGAGCCAGGCTGATCCCTGGGCACAACTGAGCTCTGCAGTGGCCTTTCAATGGCAAAGCCACCCTGGGGGATGCTGGTGCCTGACCTGGGGCCCGTGTCTGCTTCTGCAGGGCCCTTGCTCAGGAGAAGACCTCAATTACACGTCCCTGGTGTTCCCAGGGAAAGGCCACGGGCCGGGACCCACCGCTGACTACGTCAACGTGGACCCAAAGAGGAGGAAAGCTGATTTCTGGTCCTGCTCCGGCCCCGCGGCTGCCAAGTGCATGGAGTACACGGAGGTGAAGCTCTGAGACCCGGGATGCCCAAAGCTCTGCCCATTCCCCTCACTCGGTGCCTGGCATGGGCTGGCTCCTGCAGCTTTTATCCCTTGTGACACTCGAACCAGTGCAATTTGCTTGGCAGAGCCCTTAAAGGCATCACTGTTCCTGAAGGATGCTGAGTGCGGCACAGCTCCTCCCTGCTCTCCACTTCTGTGTGGTGGCTTTTTCCCCATCGTGTGAAAGCAAATGAAGCATCTCCCCCACCGCTCAAAGGGGATGTATTCCAGGGAGGGAAATGCAGTGGTCTTCAAACTATCCCCCCACACTGGGTGGCAGCTCCTCTGAACGATGCTTTCTTTGCTGATTGCTGTCATAAAACCCTTTTAAACACAGTTTCTGCACCAGCTTTTCCCTGTGCTGATTCCCTGCCCTTCCCTGCACCCTTTTTCCTTTGATACCCAAGCCCCCATCGCCCTCAGAGCTGTCACTGGGGTGGCTGCGTGGCCATTGAGAGGGATGCTGGGGCCAGGCAAGGAGCATGGTCCTGCCCCACAGCTTCCTCCTCCAGCTGAAAGCCGTTGTCATCAGCCCACCCAGCAATCAGATGGGGGCTTCCCAGGGGATTTATATCCCAGCCCGCAGCTGGGGGGCCTGGGCTGGCTGCTGGAGGGGCACAGGACTGGGCCACAGGTCTCCACGTGAGCACAGGCAAGTGAAATCCCTTTGTCCTGTGGGGAGGGGATGATGTTCTCTGGCTCCCACCTTTTGCTTTCCTTTCTCCCTGTACCGGATGCCCTGAATGCAGGATTTGGTGTCTCCCTACCTGCTCAGTGCTTACACCCAGCACAGGGAGAGGCTTCATTAGGGGACTCCCAGCACAGCCCCACTTCCTCAGGGATGGAGCTGCCTCAAGTGCGTTTCCAATCAGCTCAGCAGCGATGAGCTTCAATGAAGGCTTGTGATGATCGATTTGGCACTGATCTGGGGACTTGGGCACTGGGTTTATGGCTTTATTGTGCAGATCTGGCCCAGCTTGAAGGGCACAGGGAGGGAAATGGTCAGAACCCCAAACAATTACTGAGAGCATTGCTAAAGGTTTATGGAGATGAGTCCAAACTGAGTTTCTGGAGGAGCTGGCTCAAATGGTTTGTAGTCAAGTGAAAATAACAAGATTTGAAAACACAATGTGCTAGTTTTACAGATTTAGCCTGGGATAATGGAGGGAAGAAAGCACCTTGCTTGCAGGCAGTTTGGCACCTTCAGTGCTCACTTGTACATCCCCCCCATCAGCAGCTTTTGAGCTCAGCTGGAGCAAGGGGATGCTTTCACCTGCCTCATGCTTTCAAAACAGCTTCTGGGCTACCCACAAAGTGCAGGGAGAAGGGCTGGGGCTGGTCCTGCAGGCCAGGGCTCGTTCCTGCTGCCGCTGCCCTCCCCAGAGCCTCCTCTCCTGCAGGCTGAGGACGGGAGATGAGCGACCCGTTTGCAGGCGGCTCTCGGGCAGACGCAGCCACATTGCCTCCTGCTGTGCTCGCGTCTGTTAAGCGCTCAAAGCTCAGCCCCCTCCAGGCAGACCCGCACTGGTGCAGCATCCCCTGGGTGCGAGGCATCCCTGCAGGAGAGCAGCCCCGTCGTGGGCGGCTTCCTTACTCGTGAGGGATGCGGATGCTGTGGTCGGGCAGTGCTGATGGGGCTCCGTCCATCTCCCCCCCTGCAGCGTGCGCAGTACCAAGCGCTCCAGGGCAAGATGCTCTCTGCGTGAAGCACATGGCCTTAGGCGAGGGCGATGCCGCCAGATGTGGAGAGGCGCTTCCGCGGCGTCACATCTGGCAGCAGCGGTACCTGGGCACCGGGCCCTGCCGCAGCCTAGAGCGTGCCCGACTCGGTCACCCCCTCCTCGCAGGGGGGGCCCAGGCTGTCCCTGGCGCTGCCGCCGTGCAGGGGCAGGCTCGGCCCGGGGCTGTGGCTCAGGATCGTGCTTTTCCTGCTGCAGAGGCTGCCGGTGGAGCCCGCCCTCCGCAGCCCGGGCCGGGGGCTGCCCCAGCGGCGCAGGCAGCGAGCGGCGCCCCGCCGGAGGTGCCCGCTGAAGGCCATGTAGATCCAGGGGTTGCAGCAGCTGCTGAGGCTGGCCAGCAGCATGGTGATGGTGAACGCCGCGTTGGTGGAGTCTGCGGAGGCAAAGGGGAGACCTGAGACACGCGCTGGACCGGGGGCTCCTCTCGGCTTGGGCTCGTGCCCCCTGTCCCGTTCCCATCCCATCTGATGGGTGTTATCTGGGTAGGGGGGCTTACAGCACAGGAGGCAGAGCCAGGCTCTGCCCTTGGCTGAGGGTTGCAGGGGGCTGAAGTGCTGTAATGGGGATGTGCCGCAGCATCACATCCCAGCAGCTTCTGGACCTCCCTTCAGCCTGTTTGCTGGCTAAAGTATTTCCTAGAGGCCCTTCAGTCTTGGATAAAGTTCCTTCTACCTCTGAGCAGGCTGGGAGAGCTCGGAGAGCTTCCAGAACAAGCAATGGTTGGACTCTGCAAGCAGCTTCCTATAAACACTGATGGGGAGCAAATCTGTTGCCTTCCCCACGAGAAAACAACAGCTCTAGGTTGTTATCGATGCAAAGGGGCTCCTGTGCACCCCAGGCTGCAGCCCAGCATCGCAACCACTACTCACCATCATCAGGAGCATCCTCGTCCCACACCGACCACATCTGCACGCTGAAGAACGGGGCCCAGCAGGCGACATAGGCCACCACGATGACGAAGGTCATCTTCACCGTGCGGATCTTGGCGCGGGAGATGGTGCGCACGGAGCTGACCCGCGAGGGCTGCCCGCTGGGGCCCCTCTCAGAGGAGCAGGGAGCAGGAGGGGCGGCCACTGTGGTCCCCCCCGTGCTGGGGACACCGCTCTGGGTCTTGCCCTTGAGGTTCTTGCAGATCTCGTAGCAGATGAGGCTGTAGCAGACTGTGAGGATGCCCATGGGCAGGATGAAGATGCACAAAGCGGTCCAGGTGATGTAGGCTCGGGCACCCCACGGGTACCTGAAGTCTGCCCAGCAGTCCAGCACCCCCGAACCCTGGCGCACCTCCTGCAGGGAGAAGATGAAGACCTGGGGCAGGCTGAGGAGGCAGCTCAGCAGCCACGTGGCCCCGATCATCACATAGGCCTGGCGGCTGGGCTGCTGCAGGCTGTGCAGCGGGTGGCACACGGCCATGTAGCGGTCCAGGGTCATCATGATGAGCATGTAGGTGGAGGCGAACATGCTGAGCACCTGCAGGTACTTGACGGCCCTGCAGAGCGGGTCTGGCCCCAGGAAGCGGTAGGTCACCTCCCAGATCATCTGCGGCAGCACCTGGAAGAGGGCGACCCCCAGGTCGGTCAGGCCGAGGTGCAGGATGAAGAGGTGCATCCTGCTCATCTTCCTCCTCCGGCGGTACATGGCCAGCAGCACCCCCACGTTGCCAACGGTCGCTACAGCCAGGATAGTGGCCAGCACCCCGACCTCTGCCTTGGCCAGCGCCTCGTCCCGGGTGTGCAGGAGGGTCAGGTTGGGGTCCCATGGCAGGGTCTGGGGGCTCAGACCCTGGCTGTGGCCCGGCCGGCTGTGATGAGAGCTGTTCCAGCCCCAGCCTGGCTCCATCCCTTCGGGCAGCTCCAGCACTTGTCTCCAACGGTTCAACCCTTCCCTATCTCCTAGGGCTGAGCTGTCATGGTCAGCACTGCCCCTGAGCACCGCAGCCCCTGTCTCCTCTTCCTGGTGCAGCTCAGCATCACCTCACCCCTTGCTGGGTGGCTGCAGTCCTCTTCTGGGCTGCTCTGTACAGCAAAGCAGTGCAAGAGCCTCTGGTTCAGCCCTTGATCTTCCTCTCCTCTGCACTAAGCATTCCCGAGGCCCTGTTTCTCCCTGGATCACTCATTCTGTGCATCCCCTCTCCTCCTGTGCTGGGAATTGAAGGGGAAAAGGAAGTCTCTCTTTGGCCTCTTTGCTCTGGGAACAGAAGTGGGGCAGCGGTGCCCTGGTGTCCAAGCGCTGGGAAGTGGGTGGCGGCTGCTGCTGCTGCTGCTGCTGCTGCTGGCTCTGTCCCCGTGTGAACGCCGCCGGGTTTTATAGCCTGGCAGCTCCCCTCCCTGGCTGGCCCCAGCATCCCGCCCCGGTGGGAAGCTGCGAGCTGCTTCCCCTCCTGCTGCTTTGCCGGAGGCTTTTCCCCAGGAGGATTCCCGGGCAGGAGCAGAGGTTGGGAATCTCCCCTTGCCCCCTCTTCTGCAGCGGGTCAGGGCTGGGGACACTGCCCCTGGTTTGCATTGTCCCTGCTGGGCAGATCCCACCAAATCCCTAGCTCCTCTGTCCCGGGAGATGGGAATGGGGGGGACCCTGGAGCAGCTCCCAGAGTAGGACTTGGGCATCAGCTCTGTGGGTCTCAGCCCTGCAGCAAAGTCAGTGGGACCTTCATTTACTGGCACCATGTCCTGAGGCTGCTTGTTCTGATGTGCTGCCCTTTCCTTCTGTGTGGGAAGGGCATGGAGATTGTCCCTGAGATACAGCAAAAACCCCAGCCTGGTGCTTAGTGCAGTTGAGCACTGCTGGTTTAGTGCATCCCACAGAAAGCCACCCTGGAGGCTCGGTTTGTCAAGGTAACACTGCCTTACGTGGCTGAATCGGCAGCTGGTAGCATCAATCCGCATGAAGCACAGCACATGAGGTGCTGTCTCCATCACCAAGAGCCAACCTGTGCTCTTCAGACCTCGAACACAGAGGTAAAGGGGCTGGGATTGCTGATCTGGGGGCTGCTTTGTGAGCAGCCCGCTGGGTGAATGAAGATGTGAACCCCGTTGGCCTGGGGCTGGTTTGGCTCCCTTCCCAACACAAGGGCTGTATCTGTGGTACGTGATGGTGTCGTGGTGCTGCCAGCACAGAGCAGACTTGGGCTGTCGTTGGCATTTAATCACTGAGATGCTTTCTGTGGGTCAGGGCAGCCGAAAGCAAGACTGGGTCCTTTTGCACTGGTTCGGATGCTATAAAATGAATGGTGTTGCAACTGCTTTGTAGCAGCTTGGGGTCATCTCCTTGGGAAGGCTGAGGGCTGGGAGCTCCTGGGATCTCGTGCTACTTTTAACGCCAACTCTGTGTCAAAATGAAGCCATTTTGACTTCCCTCCACCTCCTGGAAACAGGAAGTGCTGAGATGTTCCAGGTCCTACAGGCTCAAGGCCTCCATCCCTCCTGCGGCTGACCCGGCTCCATAGGTGCGTGGAACGGTTTGGGTTGGAAGGGAACTAAAGAGCATCCAGTTCCAACCCCCTGACCTGTATCTAAGTGGACCCCTGGTCCAGTGCTTGCAAGTGGGACTCCCTTTGGGCTCAGGAGGGAGATCTCTGTGTAGTTGTGTGGTGCAGTCGCAGCTCTGGGGAGTGAGGACGGGAGCGGCTGGCAGTGTAAGGCAATCCTAAGGCAGATGTGTCCGTGTCCCCTCTGCTCCCCCCTTTCCCTCGTCCAGATTTGGGCTTTTTCCATTTAATTAAACCCTCTGATGCCGCTTAATATTAGCGAGGCTGTCTGGGAGCCTGAATAAACATGCTAAGCACATGGCAGTGCCCCAGAGGCTGCCTGCTGGGGACAGTGCCGGGCGGCACAAGCAGGTCTGATTTGCCTGGAAAACCCACGTGGAGCTGTAGAACAAGCAGGACAGGAGCAGCTGAGGGTGGAGAGCTGAGCTTTGAGGTGTCGGCGCTTAAAAGCACTGCCTGGAACCTAAACTTGGGGGGCTCCATCCGTGCTGTGAACTGTCCCCCCTTAGACCCCGCAGCCTTCCGGGTGGGTTTGGAGCAGCCTCTCCTCCCTGCATGGTGACCCTGGAATACTTTGCAGGCTGGTGAAGAGCGCTGGAATCTGCTGTTGGGTAACACGGAGCCAGTCCGGGGGGGTCATTGCAGTTAACAACTATTGCAGTTTACTTTTCCCTTGTTTCACTGGGGCTTTTCACTTGACCCCTATGTGTGGAAAGCGTCTGCTTAAGCAGAGGCAACTGCCACAGGGGAAATGGAAGCTGTAGGCATCTTGGAGACAGCAGGTTGCTTGTTTGTCATCCTCACGTTCTCCCTGTTGGCTTCCCTGTACAGCCAGGGACGTTTGAAGGCTTCGGTAGCTGAGCTGCTTCCCTTTCCTTCCCCACTCCGTCTCCGTGACCATCGTCAGCACTTAAACAGCAGACACAGGCAGAGATTTGCAACCTTCAAATCAGGAATAACCCCCCCAATGCTGTGTCTCCAGGCTGGAAACAAGCAGCTTTTCCTTGTCTGCTCCTGAGAGGCTGCTGGGGGTCTGTCAGCCCTGCTGGGGACAGAGGAGACCCCATCCGGCTCCAAAGTCCCACCATGGCCACACTGGGAAAGGTCCTTTCTTTAGGGCCGGTATTTTGCTCTGTGCAGTGCAGGTGTGATCCGTGGGTGGGATTCCAGGCCCTGTATCCTATGGGGATGAGCTGGTTGCCCACGGAGGGCAGCTCATTGTTCACTTAACACACTGGGTGGTTCTTACCTACGGGGAGCCCTTGGACTGCCAAGCAAAGGGGCTTTAAGATGCTGTGGGATGAGTTCACAGCACCAGGACTTGCTCTGGAAGCACTGCTATTGGGTGTACTGCTTCCTTTGAGCTGTTTGAGCAACTTCTTGCCTTTGTGTGTCTAACAATAGGACAAAAACAAGCCCAGTGAAGCACATTGCTGTAGTTGCACAGATAAGAAGTGCCAGTGGAATTACTGCCTTCAGCCCGCATGAAATGTGGGTTGGTTTCCCCCCTATCTTAGTGTGTGAAAATCTCCTTGGAAACAGCTCTAATGGTCTGCCTCCTCCCTTCTGCAAGCGCAGCAGAAAGCTGTGCTCTAAATGCACTGCTGCTCCTCGTGAAATGGCTGTGGGCAGAGCATCCTCGTGGGGTTGATGGAGTTGTAACACCGGGATGCTGGCTTTGCTCGGCGCTCCCGTGCTGTGGTTCTCTGCTGTCTGTGCTTCAATACCAATGGAGGTCCCAGGGGAGCACCCAGCTCTGCACAGCGCAGGCGATGCTGCCCCGGACCCGGTGTGATTGTGACCCATTGAAGCAGAATTCCCTGGTGTCAGCTGGGACATGCAGCTTCCCTGTGCCCCAGCCTGAGGTCGGGCACTGCCAGCTCCTGTTTGAAACAGGCAGCAGCTCCGAGGCTTGCACAAGCCCTTCATTAACACCCAGTTCTTTGTCCTTTGGTTAGCACAAGAGGAGTTAATCCTCCAACTGCTCTCGTCCCGGTTCTTGGCAGGGGTGGGAGCCTTTGGGGAGGCAGTTAATGCTCTTTAATCCCCTCCTGGTGTGGGGTGGCCGAGGAGAAGGTGATAAAGTACAAGGGCTGCACACAATGTGCTGCCTGCTGGCGAGGTCAGATCGGGCAGCCCGGAGCTGTTACTGGCTCCATGGGATGTGTCCTGCGCCCTGCAGCACAGGCACTGGGCTCTGCTGTCCCTGCTCTGCACCGGGTGGGTTTGAAGACCCCATGGATGCCATTCCCCGGCACTGAGGACACGGCATGGACACTCGTTGCAGGGAGAACTGAGGGTTATGTCTGCTAATGTTGGTGTTGGGAGGCGGCGTTTGTCGCCTAACTCGGGTTTAGACCCCATCGTCCTTATTCAGGGTTATTCAGCTCCATGGGAGGTCTGGTTTAAACCTTTCGGGGGTGAACATCCGAGCCTTTAACCTGAAGTTCAATCTCTGGCTCCTTTGGGTTCCTGTGTACAAATGGGTGCGTTTGGGCGCAGAGCAGGAAGATCTCTGAAGCTGAGCAGAGCTGCGCTGGGGAGGCAGCAGCTGGGATCGGGTGCTTTGGTGCTAAAGCCAGTGATGAGCAGCTCTTCCACACGCAGCTTGCTCCCCTTCCTGCTGATTGCCCACTAGGGTGTTCCAGCACCGTGGAGCAGAGGTGATCCTGCCGCTGCTCGGGAGCTGACTGCCCGAAGTCACTGACCTGGTGCCTCGCAGTGCGCAGAGATGGCAAAGGAAGGCGAAGGCTGCGGCAGGAGTTAAACTGCTTCACAGGCAGGGCATGGCGGGGGTGTTTCACTGGGGGGCCGGGCTCCGGCAGCCTGGCTGGGGTCAGTGCTGGTTGCCGGGAGCAGACCATGGCTTTGCCTCCGGCTCTCCCCTGCATGCACGGTGCCAAGTGCCCCAGCCGCTCTGAGGAGCCGGTTGCACAACGGATTTGAGAGGCCACGGGGCTGTGCTCGGTGCCGCTGCAGGTGGGGAGCGGTGCCCCCCGTTTCGGAGGAGCGGCGTCCCGGGGCCTGCCAGACGATGCTTTCATCCCTTGGGATTCGCGTGGTCTGCGCCCCAGTGTTTCGGGCTGCGATGGGTTATCGCTTCATCACACACGCATATCGCAGCCTGCACTGGGAGCCTGCTGGTAGGGAAACCCAGCCTGAGATCAATGGATGTCTTCACTGGCCTTTACATTCTCCCTGTCTCCCTGAGCTGCTGTCGGCTAGAAGATGAACCGAGTTAACGTGTGGGTCAAGCATCAGCCAGAGATTTTACTTCAGGGTTTCTGTATGAGAGTATGGGTATTGCTGTAGCAGCGACAGAACTGCATCTGTTCTGCATCCTGCCTTCTGGGCAGCTTCCACGCCAG